TCTCTCGTGATACGAATATGACCTGAAAATGCGAGAGCATCAGTGGCGTTAAAACCTATGGGTGAGGTAAGAAGTGTCCCAGCGAAGCAGCAGAGTCACTGGGCTGAAGAGTCTGAAGGAGATGCCTGACATAGTCAGGGAAGCCTTCCAGACAAGGAGAGATGAGTGAGACACAACCGACAAAGGGGGAAAGAAGAGAATGACTTTGTGCCCTTGGGGACACAAGCAGAAGTTCAGAAGAAGGATAGACACAAGCTGGTGCAACGTAGAGAAATCTGAGGAAGTGATGGCAGATTTATACCAAAATTAAAACCATAAAACCGAGACAGAAATTTTACGTTTTTGCTTGAAGTTGATGGAGACTGGGCCTTGCTCTGCAGCCCTCAAACTATACTCTACACCTGTCTCCAGAGTATGGGGAGCTCAAGAAAAACCCACCACACCCTGATTATCTATGTCTGTACTCTATCTCCACCTGTCTCTAGAGTACGGGGGGCTGTTCACCTTCCATCTATGCCTTTTAAAGAGGAAACATTTACATTATTTATGAGAGAGGGCAATGAATCTGGGATTACCTGAGAAAGAACCACTGAGATTCCTGAGGGAAACCAGGACAGTGGAAGTGTGGCAGGGAAGGAGAGTAAGGTGGTGTACAGCCAGCACTCTGATGATTTGAGTTTCAAGGAATCTAGGAAATGCAAGTCAATAATGGCCTTGAAATTTGATCCAGAGGAAGAATATCATGCTTGAACAATCATTACTCTCATAACTTTGACAAACATCAGAAGAAAAGACACTGTGAAGAGGAAGGCATCAACTGGGGGAACAAATTTGCTCCATTTGAGTTAACTTTTGGAATGCTGAGCAGACAGTAGTGTCCCAGCAGTCACTGGGAAACATGCGTTAAGATTTGGTGAAATTTTTCAGATGAGACTGTAACATTCATCTTCCCTGTTTTAGTTAGAATGAATAGGAAACCCACAAGACTAGAGAAGTCCTCCCAAGCATGTATGTATGCTATGTCACGGAGCCATAGGAAGCTTTGGGGAATCCCTGAAGAAAGACTCAGCATTTCTGTTTCAGTCTCCCAGTAGGTGTTCTACTGCTATGATGAGCACCATGACCAAAAGAAAGCTCAGGAAGAAAGGGGCCGATGTGGCTGACAGGTTCCTATCCATCATCAAGGGAAACCAAGCCAGGAACTCAAGGCAGGAGCTGGAAGAAGCAGAGGCTATGAAAGAATACTGCTTGACCTATGACCTATTCAGCCTGTTTCTATAGCTCAGGACCACCAGGCTAGGGGTGGCAGCACCGGGCCTTCCCACATCAGCAATCAGTCACAGGCCAGTCTGATGGAGCCACTTTCTCAGCTGAGGCTCCTTCTTCTCAGATGACTCTCCAGCCTTTGTCACATCAGCAAAATACTAAGCAGCACACTTTGTTTCTTTTCCTGTCACTGAATAAAATAAAATACCCTGACAAAGACAACGTAAAGGGGAAAGGGTTTATTCTAACTCACAGTTCGAAGACACAGTCTATCAAGAATGTGAAGTCGGGGTAGCAGGGGCTTGAAGCAGCTGGTCACATGAAATCCACGATCAGGAAGCTAAGGATGATGGATGTATTTAGCCGCTGCTCAGTTCCCTTTACCCACTTACACAGGCCAGGATCCCAGTCAGGAAATAGTGACCCCCTCAGCAGGCAGACCACCCCACCTCAAATAAAAACAAGGTAATCCTCCAAAGGCATGCCCAGTGGCCTGTCTCCCAGGTAACTCTAGACTAACCATCATAGTATATAAAAACGGGAGAGACAAACAGACACAAAACACCAGAAATAGAATTTTAAAAAGGAAAGAACAGAAATTGAGAGATCAAAAAGCTTCAGGAACTTCGCCAGTTGATCAGGCTGTGCTAGCCGTCCCTCCCTCGTACACTATATTTGGATTAATGAACAACTACTTAAACCTCTTGCTAAGCATTAGCTATCTTTCATCTGGTGGGGAAAGGGGCTTGAAAAATAGAATTTTTCAAGAACTGTAACCTTTATGGTCCCTCTTTGATAGTATTTTCTAAGAATCTACTTTCGTGTGGTAAAAACTTAGAATTATGTCACACCTGCAAGCTGAATTTTAATAATAAATTCTATTATAGGCTTTTTAATTTCAACTCCAATGGTGATATACTCTAAAGGAACAGACTAAAAGAACCTATTTTCTCCCAGTATTCTTGACATGACACGAGCAAAAGGGACATTTCTTAAAATCAATTTTACCAAAGGACAATATAATATGATTAACCTTCTTCTCCATCAGAAGCACAAGCTTTCAGACACACAGGTTTGAGCAGAGTTGAGGACAATTCCACTCAGATGAATGTTGCATGAGCATCACATTTGGGAAGTGTGTTGTCGTGTGGGGTCATAGACTACCTGCCAAGCTAGGCATTCCCAGACTGCGATTACTCTGCAGATAAATGGAAGGAAAAACAAAACCAAGAGCAATCGTTTCCATTCCTGTCTAAAGTTAACAACATACGCTAAAGGTCTAATCGCGTTTCCAAACTTTACCTAGAAGTTAATAATTAATCAAATGCACCTTGGAAGAGATGAATATAGGACCAAGAAGAGCCAAAACATACTTAAATTTTGTCAGCTTTATAATAAGTTGGTTCTGGCGTTCAGATTAATTTTTCTAGTCTGTCTAATCACTTGCCATAGTAACACTGGTCTCCTCGTCACTCAGCAAATCTTGCAGGACATCCAACCCTTCCACACCTGCCTGTTACCTGCTCGATAAAGCCCTAACGCGCCTACTTTGTTTCATCATTAGCACAACCGGAACCCCGAATGTCAAGGTGTTCTACTTCCTCTGCAAAAACTCCAGGCCCCAGCAGTGCCATCAGATCTGTCGGGGACACTCTGCCATGAGGATTTCACAGACTGATTTTTGTGTTGTGCTTGTTTTTGGGTGGCAGACATGCACTTGAGGGTAAAGGTCAGCGAGTGACATTGTCTTTCTAAATTACACCGCACCTTAGTTTTTGAGACCACATCTCTCACCCAACCCTCAGTTAACCTATTCAACTACGTGGCCAGATGGCCAGCAGGCCTAAGGACCTGTGTCTCTCTGCCCCAGCACTGGGGCTGTAGGCGCATACTACTGCACTTGGTTTGTTCTTTTTTTTTTTTCTTTTAATGCTGAGGCTGAGGCTTAAACTCTGGTTCTCCTGCTTACGCAGCAAATGCCTTACCTTACCAGAAAACTGAGCCATCTCCCCAGCCCTTGTATATAATCTCTTGAAGATCAGTTTTATAATCTGCAAGGCTATCAAAAAGACGTACCTTATCCCTCATGTGTGTTGAGCAAAAAGAGATCTTAATAGAGCATGAGACGCAGAAATGTCAGGTAAACGCCAGTCCTCATCAAGATCCCAACCACCCAAGAAATATAACATGAAGGGCCAGGTTCATTGGGGTTTCTGTCCCGCCCTGTTCCCACAGCTGTTTATTCCCAAAGAAAATCACACAGAGGTCTACATTAGGTTATAAACTGATTGACACATTAGCTCAGGCTTCTTATTAGCTCTTGTAGCTTATATTAACCCATTATTCTTATCTATGTTAGCTACATGGCTCAGTACCTTTCTCAGTGGGGTAAGTCACATCCTGCTTCTTCAGTGTCTGGACAGGAATGTCAAGGGAGCTTCCTGCTTCCCAGAATTTTCCTATTCTTATTGCTCCACCTCTACTTCCTGTCTGGTTTTCCTGCCTATACTTCCTGCCTGACCAATCAGCATTTATTTAAAACATGATTGACAGAATATAGACCATTATCCCGCACCAAAGAAAGACTACAACGTGTGCAGTATGTTTCTGTCCTGGGTTTGGATTTTATGATATTTAGTTCATGGAAGAATCAGAACATATTAAACTATTTAACACGTATGTTCAACAGATCACCAAGAACTTACTCCGGTTCTCACCCACTGTAGCCTGACAAATGGGAACAGGAAGAGAGAGACTCTGGGCAGCTGCCACATGGAAACACAGTAGGGGCTCCGGGGTTGGGAGAGTGTGATCCACAGTCAAGTTTCCAATACTGCAGGCGTCAGAACCCAGTGGGATGGTGCACTCAGAATCCCAGCAGGGCAGGGGCTGAGGCAGGAGGATCATGAGTTCCAAGTCAGTGTGGACCATGTGGGAGACCATGCCTAAATAAATAAGCAGCTTCTAAGCAAACACTTAGCTGAACAGGAGCAAGGGGTCTGGGACAATACAACCAGGATAAGCCATGCCTGTCATTCACCAAAGAGCTCTCCCATCCTGTGTGCTGTCTCTTCACTCCGACCATTGTTGGTTCCTTTGCGTTGCAGAAACCTTTTCATTCTGCGCCTTCTCATTTGTCGACGTGGAGGTTATGTCCTGTGCTATTGGAGTCCTCTGCAGAAAATCCTCACCTGTATCTCATCCTGAAGGGCTTCCCCTTTTCTCTTCTTGTTGTCTCAGAATTCCAAGTCTTACATGAAGACTTTGATGCATTTTGAACCGTGTTTTGTGTAGCAGGAGCTGCTAACTCCAGGGCTGCTCCTGTGCGTGCAGAGAACCGGTTTCCCAGCACCTCTCATTTTCATTCTCACCTTGCTATTTTTCTCTTTCCTTTTATGTAACATTATTTCTGTAGTCTTCTGCTAGAATACAAAACCAAACACACAGAGAACAATAACCCCTCCTATGAGCTGCTCCTGAATGCCCGTTGTTATGAATGGGGAAAGGTGGCCGTGGGATCTGCTCGTGGCTTATTACCGTGCTTTGTGTGTATTTATTATCACCAGGAAAATACAAATGATGGAGTACAATTTTACATATTAGCCACTTGTGCTTCTGATGCACATAATTTTACTCTGTGCCTTTAATGTTTATATTTATCGCTTTTCTAAACACAATTCCTGAAAATGATGCAACTCCAGCCAGACTCCTGCTTCTTTCTCTGCCGTTTGCAGACACCCAAGGACTCCACGTACTGCCCCAGACAGCTGACTGGTCGTCTTTTCCTCCTCAGCAGTATCTCTTGACACTTGGGTTCAAGAACAAAGAAGATGGGAAGTTTTTGGAAAAGGTGTCAAGCAGGAAGCTGCCCACTTTCACAGGTGATTGGAACCTCAATGTGTTACATTTTGAAATGTCCCCATTTCTAAACTGGGACAAGGCTGGGACTGTGTCCCAACACCAAGCTTGTAGAAGGGCCTGGATATACAAAAATGTTTGATCACTTTTAGTTTTTCTAATTTTCTTTCTGGGTTGATTAAAAATACATAAAATGCTGATTTCGGGAGAGAATCCCCCCGGGAACACTCTGGACGTTATCATGCAGTGCTTACCATCTCCTTCCTAGCATCCCATCCAGACACCATCATCACCACTGCCTGGCATAGCCACCAAGACTACAGACTTTCAGGTCTGGGGTCTGGACTCAACAATTGAAGTACTAGCTCAAGAGGCATAAGAACTAACTTCTCAATTCCCAGAATCCCACAGAAATGCTGGGGGGGGGGAGCTTAGTGTAGTTCTAGCCATGAAGGGCAGAGATGGGATCACCAGAGCAAGCTGGCTACCTAAACCAGCCACATTAGCACACTCCGGGTAGGACGGAGAGACCCTGTCTCAATCAATAGGGTGGAAGGGCAATGGAGGATGAGTCCTGCCTCCAACCTTGGCCCCCCACATGTATGCTCACACACACACATGCCAACTGAAAAGGTCACACACACACAATGGAAAAAGAAAAATAAAGAATATAGTCTTTCATCATTAAGGGGCAAATATGAAGCCATTGGTCATAATGACTTGTACATGAAATGGAAAGTACCCATGTCAATTCCAGGTCACCTGGACTCTCTGCTGGGGCATTAGCGTCTGCTCCTCTCGTTCCTCAGACAATCAGTCGGGAGTCCAAGTCATCTGAAGAGCATATAGTTGATGGTGTTAAGCAATTTCAGTTAAAATTTTCAAGAAAATAATTACATGGAATTGAAATCTCAGACTTACAGACTGACATGATGACTAGCCTGAGCTTGCGCCTTGTGAGGTGCCCACAGAATTGGAACTGGAATTCTGCCTGGCACACTACCTGCCCCCCTGGGCTTATCTCTGCCTCGGGCCACATTCAGAGTCAATGGCGTCTGCACACCTGAAGAATACCTGAGTGGGGCGAGACAAGAATCAGACATGCTTATGACAACATTTTCTCACAATTCAAGGCAAACATATTCTGCTGAGATACACAAATTGTCACAGGTTGTCTCTTAGATCTCTCGATCAAGAAAATGAGTAAATGTCAGTTTCTAAAGGGTGACATCTCCTCTGCCTTTCTCCTCAGAGAGCTTTTATTATTACACACATGGGCTGGGGGTGGGACTAGTGTCCATACTAAAGATTTCCTATCTCTTATTATTGAAATATCTGTCTATAGCTCACAAAAGAAAGCATTCTGAAATGGAATTCTGGGGGAAAAAAGTATAAAAATTTATTGTTCCAATTTCTAGAACATAAAACGCCTTTCTCTCTGCTGACCAGAGAAGATACAGTGAGACTCATGGAGACGGTGGGGAAGCGAATCCTGCCAGTCCTGGACTTTATCCGCAGCACACAACTGAATGTGGGTATCCGATGGGTCTCTTGTCCTGTATGTGAGCACCCAGGGTTCCTAAGCGCATAGAAAGCTGAAAGCGCCAACATTGCAAGGGCTGAGTTGGGGGGGGGGGTGTTGTTGTTTTCTTTTGTTTCTTAGAAAGACACACACACAGAAATCACATTTACAAAAGCAAACTGGTGTTAGCTAAGGACTCCATTCCTCTTCCGGTCCCACACATGTCCCCAGGCTATACTGCGGTCCTGAGTGTTGTCAGACCAATATCTCCTTGCAGAGCTCTCCCTCCCCCTGCCTTCCTCCCCAAGGCTGCTGGAGATTTCTCATTTCAAATCAATAACAGAATGTTAGCAATCATAGTGCCTTCCCTACTTCATTTACTGAGCCACTGCACAGGACCGCCTCACTATCTTGCGCGGGAACTCAGAGCTCGTGCCTGCACACCCAATCTCAAGCAGGATGCCGCTCTAAACATTGCTGCTGAGCTGTGTATGGCCTCAGGTAAATGACGTAATCCCTTTCCCCACTCCAGGGAGAGTGTGCTTTGCCTCCAGTTCTGTGTTTTATCATGTCCTAAGTGTGACCTGAATTCCTGGCTGCCCTTTTACACACTGTATGCTATTGTACTGAAATATAGAGACTTTTTCATTAATACATTATAAAAGGCTGCAGATTTGCCCCCCTTTAATATTTTTCAAAAGGCCTTAAGTTGGAAATTGTAAGAATCTTCTTCTTGTGGCTTTTGTATTACATTGTTGATTTGATGTTCGTAGGAGGAGAGCCAAGAGGGTCGTTGTAGTAGTTCCCTGCTCACTACCATCACCCAGCATTTTAGAAAAGTTATAAAATGTCCAATCTGTTTGCATGATTTAATTGAGAGAGCATGCTCTTCATGGACTTCCGTGCTGCCAGCCCCTGCTCTCTCCAACCATGTTCTCCCTCTATTTCTTCTAGTAAGGAATCCCTATTTCTCTTATTTGGCTTGAGCTGTTGTGCCAAAATGCTATAGAGCCAGTGGGTTCAACAGTAGACATTTCTACAATCACAGAGCAATTGTCCAAGATCAAGGCAGCAGACTACTGTGGCTCAGGGAAGGGCATTCCTCTTGATTCTCATAAAGCTGAATTTTTTCCCTGTGTCGCCAGAGGGCTCAGAGAGAGACAGAAGAAGAGCTCAGGCCTCTATTTTTACAAGGCCACTCTCCCTCCGTGGTGGCTGCTCTATTCTGATTTTTCGTGCCGTGAGAAACTCCATAACCAAAGACGACTTGGGGAAAAGAGAACTTAGATCACCTTATACTTTCAGTTACAGTCTATTACTGCGGGAAGTCAGGGAAGGAACTCAAGGTAGGAACGTGCAGGCAGGAACTGAACCAAAGATGGCAAGAATGCTACATACTGGTTTCTGCTCTCTCTCTCTCTCTCTCTCTCTCTCTCTCTCTCTCTCTCTTTCTCTTTCTCTTTCTCTCTCCCCCCCACCTTTGATAAAGTTCCAAGACTACCTGTCGTGGTGTGGAACTGCCGACAGTGGACTGTGACCTCACATCAATGAACAGCTAAGACAATTCCCCGCAGACATGGCCACTGACCAGTTTGACCTAGGCAGCTCCTCAGTTGCGACTGCTTGCCTGGGTGAATGCTGGTTGTGCCAAACTGACAACTGAACCAACCAGGACAGGGCCCCACCTTCATAAGCTCATTTTATCCTATCACCTCATGCACAGGGCTCATCTCCAAACTGTAGTAATAGAGCGGCGGGGCTGCATCCCTGGCACCCCAGCCGCCTGGCTAGCTTATGCCCCAAAATAACAACACACAAACTGTATTCATTTAAACATTGCTTTGTCCTTTAGCTCTAGCCCTTACTGGCTAATTCTGATATCCTGATCAACCCATCTCTAATAATCTGTGAGAACCGGTCTTACCGGGAAGATTCTAGCCTAGTCCATCCTGGGTCGGAGCTTCATGGCGTGTGTCTGCCCGGGAGCGGGGCATGGCGTCTCTCTCAGGCATCTGCTCCCGAGAGGAGAGCTGTGGAGTCTGAGCTCACTTCCTCTTCCTCCCAGCATTCTGTTCTGTTTACTTCACCCACCTATGTTTTAACCTATCAGGGTCAAGGCAGTTTATTTAACCAATGACCTTCCTCCATCACCAAACATGCTCACACCGGAACTTGAGGTTGAATGTATGCACCATGAAGTGACTCAGCTTCTGTCCCCAACAGTCTCGTTAGCAGGGCCACAAATTTGGGACCTTTTTCTGCAGTTCAGCCTTTAGCATAATCCCTTGCATACACACATGCACACACACACATGCATGCATGCATACACACACACAAACACACACCTTCCCATCCTAACTGAAAATCCACGCACATCATCCCTGCCATCACCAGGTTACTGAGGCAATAAAGTATTCCCTACCAAGAATCATCATTGCCTGAGCATTGGTTGATCCCTTCTAGCCATGGCTACCCTGGCGGCCCGGGTGTTGGTACAGTGGGAGGCATCTGTCTGTGCTCTGTCTCTGGGGCAACATCTGCCTAGCTCAGCACTTGTTTAGACGCGGACGACATGGTTGCTGCTGGCTTGGACTACACTGTGTGAGTGCAGGTTGGGCCGTTCAAGTGTCAGGCACTGTCTCAGAGTCCATACGCTTTCCTTCTCACCTCACCAAGCGTACCGTGACTGCTTGGAAGTTTATAGGAGACTCTCTGTGGATCTGAAAACGAGACCTCCTAACCAGAATTAAAGAAATTTGGATGGCTAATCAGCAGGGTGCTCTGCTGTGCAGTCGGTCTCAGCCTTGTTCTGTCTGTCCATCTCACCGAGTTCCCCGTATTTACTCCTGTTGGAAACAACACTGGGAAGACTATCTTAATGGGAGCCAAGTGAGTGAGTCTAAAGTTTTTCTGAGACAACGGGTATTGGCTTCCAAACACTGGCTTCCCTGTCTCATGTCTACCCAGCTCGGTTTCCTAAAGCAGGGCTGAGAAAAGCTGACTACAAAGGTAATTTAACGAAGCAGACAATGAGTTGGTAACTAGGAAGAATTCCCACCTGCTGCTGTTAACAAGCAGTTTTCAGTGGTGTGTTTAAGTTCACAGTGTCTTGGCATCGATTCAAACATAAAATGCTGTGCATTTGAATCAGTTCACACTGTGTTGTCTATGTATTTGCCCTAGAGGCAGGCTTTCACCCAAGGTGCACAAGCGCTGTATTGAGCATTCAGATTCATAGAAATTTTAATTATTCAGACTGGCCTGGGTTTTGTTGGACAAAAGGGCTGTTTCATTAGTCTTTCTTTTTCCTTGGACATCCTACATACTTCAATTTTTCTTTTACTGCGAGGGTAGTGCTAGAGTCCCATGGGTCTCAAATCCTTTTCCTTCAGTCACTGACTTGCTAAGTTCCCCATGCATAGGCAGGACTTGAGGGGTCCTCTCCAGGCCTGGCACAGTTCAACCACCCATGGGAAAGTTGGACTCAGGCCTGCAGTCTCAGCGACCACAGGCTCTGACCATGAAGATCCAGCATCAAGACACTGCCACCATAAGAGAGTGACCTGATGCCGGGGCAACATCTGTCCTGAAGTGCCTAGGGGTTTGTCAGTCACTCTTAATACAGTGATTCAGACATGACTTTGCTTGTCAGCTAAGGCAAAAGCCATCTATTGGGGGCGTCCATCTTTACATCCAATCCTAGCAGCTAAGAAGGGTGTTTTGCATCATATATGCCCAGAGACGCTTAGACAATGTCCCTTAGTGTAAGTAGCTCTGGAGTATGAAAATAATATATATTACAGCTTTAGCATTCATTACAGTGCAGGAGACCCAAAAACAGCATTAATCTTTGACATAATACTATCATATGAATTTGAAGCATTATCACACTGACATTGTCATATAAATGATGATAAATATGTGAATGATAAAATAATACTTAGACAAAGCCAAGAATTCTCATGATATTTCTCCCTACTCATATTCTATATTAACCTCCCTTATAAAAAAGGGGCATCCATCCAGCATCTCTAATCAAGAGAAAAGCCGGCACAACAGTGCACTAAACTGCAATAACGCGATAACCGTAGAGAATCTTCCAGAATTTTTCACTGGTTGTTCTAATTTTAAATTTCCCTACAGTAAAACAAAGGGGACATTTTTTGTTCTTCACGAAATAAATATACAAAAACAGTACAACAATGTACCATCAATAGAGTCACATTAAACATAAAGTGAGCAAAACAGAATCCTAAAGATTTCTGTTAAATCCTTGCACCTGTCATAATCAGGACATTTTCTTAGCCCAAACACTGTTGAAGTGAGATGGGGAAACCCTGCTTAGAAGCCGGCACCAACTGCTTTGGAGGTGCGGCCCAGAAGTCCCCGTATGGTGCTCTGCTCGTGCGAATCATCTCCTCCCATCATTTCATTGGGCCCTCACAATGCCCCTCACTTTACCAACGAGGAGCCATCCATAGCTTGAAGTGATAATGCATATTCGCATAGCTAGGGTACCAAAGTTTAAACACAAAACAGAAGCTAGAATGAGTTCTCCCAGTATTCTTTTATTAATACATTATAAGTTTTTTTAATAAGACAATTTGGAAGTTTATTCCATAGTTGGACTCTATTGTTTTTTAATTTTTACGATCTTTTTCACTTGATGGTAATCTTGATGTTTTGTGACCCACTCTTGTGATGAAGAGACAGGGGCTACAATGTGCGCTCAGCACAAATGTTTTCTTCCCAGTCCTGATATCTAAACCACACTGCAGACACGCCAGTATCTGTCTATCTCTCCACATGTCAGTGCCCACTCATCATGGTTTTGGAAATGCGGGGAGCAGAGCCCTCTTAAATGGCAGGCCAATGGGTGTAATTGTAAAGAATTCACCCCCGATAGTGATGAGAAGTGATCTTGTTTACTTGTTAACTCGCACAGAAACACCTACAGAGCTGCATTTCGTTAAAGTTTCTGTACGAAAATGTAAAAAAACTGAGCTACATAAATATTGAATAGTTTTAAAATTCCCTTAATTTCTTAATCCCTACATAGCATCTAAGGTTTCAGTCTTGTCATCTCTCAGATTACATTCTTCTGTATCTTCTTTAACACCACGAAAGAGTTCCTTCCTTATTAAATGGGCACCAGGCTTTACGGAATCCTCTCGGAAACCGGCTCCTTGGTTCGTCCGCACGCCCACCAACTTCGTGTGGCTGAGTGTACATTGCAGCACCCGTGTCTTCATCACAAGAGCAGGTCACAAAACCAAAGCGCCCGGAGGTTTTGCTTGGAAAACCTCTCATGATCACGCAGTCTGTTAGTGTGCCTCGTGTTATTTTAAGCTATCGTGCAGTTTCAAAGCTCAAACCACCAATAAACAACTTTCCCGACTGTTCTGGCTCCGTTGGATCATGGCACAGATACACAGAATTAAAAATAAAGTAAATCTTGGATTGAGCACCAAAATACAAAAATCAAATTAAATCAGAAAATTAACTGAAAATGCTTCGTGGAAACATGGACTTTAACCTCTTGCAGGGGCGGTAGACAGCAAAGATGGTGGTTTCCTCCAGGCTGAGGGAGGGTCCTGTTTCAGACTGTGATGTCCTCTACACTCTGACATAGGCCTAATTTACCTGTCTCCAAAAATGGCTCTTCCAGGCACACAACACATGGATAAACAAGGATCATTCTGTTCCTTTACAAACTATAAATTCAAACATGTCATCATGTTCCTCATGGCTTCCAATCCTGCTGAATGTCAACCGCTCACACCCCAGCATCCTTACTGTGAGGACTTTTATTTTTTAATCCCCCATCCTCAAGATTTTAGTCCTAGCCAGACAATGGTGTAGCACACCTTTAATCCCAGCACTTGGGAGGCAGAGGCCGGTGGATCTGCATGAGTTCAAGGCCAGTGGTCTTCAAGGTCCCTGGATGTTCTTCTCCCTTCGATAACCTCATTGGCTGCTGTCTGCCTTGAACATTCTGCTCTGTCTGTGCTCCCTGGCTAAATGCTCAAGAATCTAAATAATTAAATCTCTTGGAGAAAAAAAAAAAGATGCAACTAACCATGTTTTAATACCTTGTTAATTTTACTTTTTATTTCTTCCAGACAAAAGATTTTAAACTATTTACATGTGCACATTTGAGGTGAACAATAGTATACGCTTCCTATGCATTCTGTGCTTGCAAACAGTGTTCCTATATGTCATGCCAAGTGGAAATACACGCCACACTTCAGGAGCTGCCTCTCCTAGCATTATGCAGGACCATTTATTTACTCAGCATTTATCAATAATTGCTACTAAATCCAGGCAATTCTCCTCCAGAAGCCTGCATTTGAACTTGCTATTTGCCTAACCTTCATCACACCCGGGTGAGGTTTTAGCTTCAATCTTAGCCACTTTATTACCCTCTTTCCAGAAACTAAGGGACCATTTGATCACTCCTAAGGTCTCACAGGGTGGAGGGGGGCTAACTCGCTTTGCCAGCACTAAAAGTTTAGGCTAATTCCTTCATGTTCCACTCTTTCCTTGATTTTTCTTAAAGCAGCCACATTAAAACACCCCTGCTGACATCAGATATTGATGTTCGTCTTTTCTCCGCTCAGTCTTTCAAAAGCTCTCGTCTCGCACATATACGACATTGATCTGTAGCCTCCTGGTAGCCAGAACTGCATTCAGTTGTGGGGAGGGGAGGGCTGGGTGACTGTTAGCATCCATGTAGGTTCTTTCCCCAGGGTCTCATTCATATGGAGAACTTCCTGTTTTGTTATGCACCCAGCAATCGGGCTAACAAAGCACTGTTGCCTTCAACTATTTTTATTTTCCTGATGTTTTGGAAAATTACACTAATAGATTATGTTCCCGAGCAAGCTGCAGCGGATTCTGCTCCCTGATGTTGAGTCAGTTCCGCGTTTCTCTGCAATAGGCCCATTGTTTCCCCTAAGAAGGACAAAGGAAGCCATTGTTCTTTCGAGAAAAAATGCCACTGTTCAGGGACACACCACAGCTGAATGGTGGCTGGCTCTCTGATCGCTTCAGACGAGGGATCTCAAGCCCACCCTGCGGAAGCATCACTCCTGGAAGGTGGTAGATTTCCGTATAAACAACTAATCAGAAACAATAAGTAAAAGTGGAGGGCATCCCTTGGACCACACAGGTGGCCATCAGGGAGGAGGAAAGTCAGCTTGGACCCCACAGGTGGCCATCAGGGAGGAGGAAAGTCAGAGGGCGGGCCTGCCTAACCTTCGTCGCTTTGGCAGATTCTAAGAGAGGCCAGTCTCACGGGCTTGCTGTCAGCCACAGAGCCGGCCTGACATTTCAGTGTGTCACTTCCTAATCTCAAATTGAAGTTCAGCTGATCTCTCGGTGGTACTGATTTCCAACAATGGCTTTCTCTTCAGAGGAAAAATCTCCTTTAGAAAGAAATCCCATGTCTTTTTTCAGGGAACCGTCTGATACAGATTCACCAACTAGAACAGTCCCTCTCAGGTAGGAAGCAGAAAGGACATGATGTCTTCTTAAACTCCTGCTTGAGATGCCTGGAGATTTGGGCAGGTGCCTACATCATCCTAATGTCGAGGGCCATGCAGCAAATCCATGGATTCCCTGAGAAGGGTGAAGGCAGTGTGAACCATCTTCTTAACGGACTGGCCCAGGGGCTCTGCCGTAGCTGGTCCAGGAGTCCTGCATGAAAGATAAGGAAGGCTAGTCATCACCAGCCTTGCTGTCCCTAGCTCTAGTTGCCAAACGACTTCAGAACCCAGCTAACACCCAGGCCTTTAAATTTTGACCATAATGTGCCCCCCATATATCTTTCCTGAAGAGAAATCTGGGGGGGGTTATCATATGCTCTGCCTCTCCTCTCAAGCATGGCAGTCTGTGTTCAACCTCTCTTCTGGGCCTGTCAGTGACAAATGCATAAGAGGCCACCTCATCCTAAGTAGCCCCATCTTCGTAAGAGACACCTGTGTATTCATAAGGGACAAGCACTTTACAAGAGCACACTGCAGTCTACTACAAGATGGTTCGTGTCAGTTGCTGAAGTAGTCCTAGGAGCTAGCGCGAACCTTGTAAGGGCCCAGGGAGAACCGACAGATAAGGGCAGAGCTAGTGATTCAACTTGCATAAAAAACTGACATAACTAAGAGAAGAGGTAAACTCTTATTGGCTGGTACAATGCTGTGACACACAGCACCTGTAGAAAGCCATGGGCCTGTCAGAGGACAGCTAGGGGAGCCCAGGTTAACTCTCAGTCCTGGTTTTTCCCAACAGCCTCCTTTCCTAAGGCAAGGCAACTGGAGAACCCATCTCAACAGCCCTACTAAGAACTGCCTTTCATGTATAGCCACCTCCTTGAAAAAATGCAGAGGCCATTTCTCAAGTGATAGAATGCACTGGGTTCTGTTGCTTTCAAAAGACGTAAATGAGCCAGGTCAGGCGGTGCATGCCTTTCATCCCAGCAGAGGTAGTTAGATAGCTGTGTGAATTCAAGACCAGCCTAGGTGATATAGAGAATTCCAGACCAGTCAGGGAGAGAGAGAGAGAGAGAGAGAGACAGACAGACAGACAGACAGACAATATATTTCGTCCCATCCTTGACTTCAGACCCAGAGAGCTCTCGTTCTGAAACATGCCTTCTTCCCTGTGAGACTAGGGAAATTTCCACGCCTGCTCAGGTGTAATGGAGAAGTTGCACTACGCCAGCCTCCTCAGCCGGCTGCAGAGAGTGAAGGAGCAGGCCCAGGTGATCAATCAAGCAATGGCAGAGCTGGCAACCGTCCCTTATCTCCAGGACATCAGTCAACAGGAGGCAGAATTGGTAAGTATTTGTTTCTCTTTGTTTAAGCTTTCACAGGCCCCAAGCTAGCAGAAGACGGATAGGGGCTGAAAAGGCTTGTGGTTATAGATGGTGTCTGAAGGGCGACAGGGCCTCGTCCCGCATTCAGATGGAGACCCTGGGAGATGGGAGTAGTCTGGAGCTCCATGATCACTTTCCTTTTCCTGTCTCCCTCCTTCCCTTCCTCCCTCCCTCCCTCTCTTTCTCTCCCTTTCTTTCTTTCTTTCTTTCTCTCCTTTCTCCCTTTCTATATAACAAGAACCTTGTAATATGTAAAAACATAGGCAGGAGAGCAAAACACTTACCTGTATAAAAACACCACCCTACAAAATGTCCCTAAGTGTAGGTCCCCTGCAGGTTACCATACACAGTGGAGGAGGCGGCACACATAGTGAAAGACTCAGTAAAAGTTCATTTGAGAGAAAAGTCTTATTTTCTTTCGTGTGTGTGTGTGTGTGTGTGTGTGTGTGTGTGTGTGTATGTGTGGATTTTTTTAAACTAAATACATTCAGAAAAGCAGACATTTTATTCTCGCATAGACCAAGTCAAAAACTACTTAAAGAAACAGTTTAGAAACAATCTTCAAACAGATGTGTGTATTCTACTCATAATTAATATTAGAAATCATACCACCTCATTTGAAAAGTAATTATTGAACAGTGTGCTGCCCATTCAAGGAGAGGTTGGGAGAGCCTAATGTGTCCTAGGGAAGGGCTCTTTCCTTTGAAGCTTTAATTGAGAGTAGCTAAAACTAATTATAGACTTGAATTGAATTCACAGCACAAGGATGAGAACAGCCCAAGCTGATTACCTGTAATTTTCAGATAACTAAAGGAACCCTCCCTCTTTGAGCTTTTACAGATGTAACCAAGAAATGAGCTTCTAGTATTTATAAATTTATCTAGAGTTTTTTTTTAAAGTTTGTTAAATAAATACTGATATTCAGTGTAATGTTATAAAACAGTCTACCAAGCCCAGTAATAACGCAGTGCATACTAAAGATGAACCCCATGAAAGAAGCCTGCTGTTCACGGAATCTGTAAGTCAAAACAGGCTAATACCATCTGACCCATCATGGCGGCGTGCAGAAGAATGGCTTTTAAAAGCGCTATGTTCATCCTGCCATCCGTGAGGCATTCAACAGTGTGCTAAGTGTGGTGCTTTCAAAGGGCATATTATAACCAATTTTAGATGATTAGTGCTTCTGTACGATAAGAGAAGCAAAGGAAATGTTAATCTGGAAAGGAAAATCTTGACCCTGTCTTCCGAAAAAAGAATATTCAAGACAGAAGTAAAAAAAATCGAGAGGAATTCTCTGCTTGTAAGTCTCTTGAGCCACACCCCTTTGGGGTTCCCTCCCCCAAGAAATGCTTATATTTCCAAATGTGTACAAAGGGCTCAAAACCAACATCACTGAAATGCCTTCCTGATGTATAATTTTTGCAGTAGCTTATGCTTTAGAAAATGGTATTTCATGGGATGATTTCATACTGTATACACTCTCAAAATTTGGAAAGATAGATGGGCAGACATATTGATAGATGATAGACAGACACAGTCAAATAGATGTGTGGTTACAACCCCGATATTTGAACAGTTTGTATTGTAGAAGGTTTCATCACATTACGCAATAGATTTTACTTTCCAGTTTTCCAAGTAGGGGTTAACCTTAAAAAGTAAATCCCAACCTGACCTTGTAGGGCACCATGGCAACCGCGGTGGCTCAACAGAAACCTCATGAGTGACTCTGCTCGCTGCCTTCCTGAGGAAACTCTGCGGCACCAGAGGCCATCTAAGGGTTAGCCTTCAGGCTCACATGTTCTGACACAACCCACACATGAGCCACGTGATAGAATTTGTTACCAGTTTCTGGCTCAGTGGAGCTTTGAACTTGGGATCCTCCTGCCTCAGCCTCCCCATTGCTGTGACTATACTGACTTTGTCAGTTTCTTCTGAGATGCAGTCTCACGGAGACCATGCTGGAAACTCCCTACTACCTGAGGCTGATCTTGAGCTTGCAATCCTCCTGCTTCCACCTACCAAGGTCTAGGACAGCAGGCATGCACCACCACGCCTAGCCCATCATATTATTTTCAGTTGGGTTATTTTCAGTTGGGTTATAGCAAGTGACTTTTGTTGTAGGTAAAGTGTGCTGTTTCAAAGGGACCTTTAAAAAAGAAGAAGAAGAAAATTAGTTATTTCAAATTTTTTAACAACAGTAAAAGAGTTTAAATGAACAAGAGTCTTTTAAGAGGCAATCAAACAGTGCAGCTTTAGTACCGTCCTCTGGAGAGCTTTTTCATGATGCCGAGAATTATGATACATTAGCCTCAGGAGAAAACACTAAAACACATTCATGTACTACATGGCATTTCCTGGGAGAATGAACTGCTGCCATCACTCATAACAGTCCAAATCTGGTTTTAACAAAACATCAACACTTACTACATTAAACCCTATATGCTTTGTACAAATTTGGAGGAAGAATCTTTCCATTGTTTCGATATTTTATGTGTACAGCAATGCTCAGTTATGACTGAAGCAGCATCGAGGTGATGGTATTCATCGTGGGGAATATGAGCAATAAAATCATCAGCGAACAAATGATTTTTTAATTAGGTTTTAATCTGTGTGTTTAGAGCAGTTATTTCTGTGTGAATTCCATGCTGATAATTTTTATCTTGGTATCACAGCTGCAGTCGCTAATGGCAGACGCCATGGACACCCTTGAAGGAAGGAAGAGTGACAAAGAGCGTGTGTGGAATAGAATCCAAAAGGTAAAACTTTGAGCGGGAGGAAAAATGCATCCTATCCTCAGAGAAAATGTCCACCTTGGGTCAAATCTGCTTAGGAGATAAAAAAAGAGAGAAAAGCAGTCCCTGGGGTGGTTTTCGGTCTGCCTTCTCTGTGAAGTGAATGCGGTCGAAAGACTAGAAGTGCAAGCAAAACCAGTGACAGATTTGTTTAACTTGTCCCCACGCACTGTGGTCCTCATACCCTCCACCCTTCCTGACCATGATCCTTTTCATTTTCTGTTTAAAACGTCTGCTTCTTCATTATCTGTAATGGTATTTTTAAAGTCCTTTTCCTTGGAATTTTCACTGATTTTTCAACTACTTTTTTGTCTTAGTTTTTGTTTTTATTTTTGTTTGTTTGTTTATCTGTCACTCACTTGGGAAACACATCTTGGCTCAGGCTCCATGATCTTGCACTTTGGTAGTTCGGGTAAAGGAGAAATACCAGGGCTCATCACTGGTGAACAGGGCAACATTCACAGGTTGTCCCAGGTCCTGGGAGACTTGAGTGACACTGTAGAACTGTCTGAAGGTGTTGGCGATGCTTACCTCCAGCTTCCCCTAGGTAATACCTTCTGATTGCTCTACTTCCCATTCATTCTCCTCCCATCCCGCTGTGGGATCCTGAGATCAGGAAACAAAAGGAACAAAACAAAGAAGGCATCAGTCAATCTATCCAGAAGGGACTCTCGGAATTGAGGAGACCTGTGCTCTAAAATCAACTTGAAACTCTGAAAAGATACATAAAAAAATCCACAGAACTCATAAATGTTTGAGTATCAGGGCTACCTTGCTGGGCAGGAACAGCACGGCCATATGAATGGCAGTGAACAACATGCTTTCATAACCTGTAGAAACAAATGAGAATAGCCTGGTCTGGGAGATCAAAGATCAGGAGACCAGCTTTATGACTGCGGTATTTTTAGAACATTCAAAAATTAATGTTCATTACCCAGGTGAAGGAGACATTTGGAAGGTGGGGAATACCTTACTTGGTAAAGTGCTTGAGTATGTGGACATGAGATCAAGTCCCAGATCCCACATTTAAAAACAAACAAAATACCTAGCCCTTTGTGGTGGTGAACACATGTTCCCCGAGGGAGGAGAGGGAGGTGGAGAGAGGCAAATCCCTGGGACTCACAGACCATTCAGTCTAGCTTACTTTGTGAGCTTCAAGTCAGTGAAAGCCCTGTGTGTCTCCAGAAAACGCGGCTGGCACCTGAAGAATGGCACCCAAGGTTGTTCCCTGACCACAGTATGCCTACACACACATACACACAAGCTTCCCAAACAGAATGGCACCCTAGGTTGTCCCCTGACCACAGTATGCCTACACACACATACACACAAGCTTCCCAAACAGAATAGCACCCTAAGTTGTCCCCTGACCACAGTATGCCTACACACACATACACACAAGCTTCCCAAACAGAATGGCACCCTAGGTTGTCCCCTGACCACAGTATGCCTACACACACACATACACAAGCTTCCCAAACAGAATGGCACCCTAGGTTGTCCCCTGACCACAGTATGCCTACACACACATACACACAAGCTTCCCAAACAGAATGGCACCCGAGGTTGTCCCCTGACCACAGTATGCCTACACACACATACACACAAGCTTCCCAAACAGAGTGAAGAACATGGGCCAAGAATACAGAGCAACTGGGAGAATTTGTTACTGGGGGCCCGCTTACAGTTTCAGATTAGTCCATGATCACCATGGCAGGAAGCCATGGCGCTAATCTGCAGGTGGACAGAGAGAGACCCAATCGGCCTGTCATGGGCTTTTGAAACCTCAAGGCCCAACCCTAGTGACATACCTCCAACAAGGCCACGCTGCTTAATTCTTTCCAAACAGTTCTATCATTGTTGTATTATATGTATTGTTACAGTTATTAACTAGCAAATTAGCATTCAGACATATGAGCCAATATAGGGCCATTCACATTCAAACCTCCACAGAAATTTATAGACTTATTTGGGGCTTGTGGTTCCAAAGGGAGAGGAAGCCACGGCCATGACAGTAGGGAACATGGCAGCAGACAGGAAGGCCTGGGCTGGGACGGCAGCTGAGAGCTCACATCACAATGACACGAGTCTTTAGAAACCTTAGTCTGCTGCCAATGTGATGGCTATTCTTAGCTATCAACTTGATTACTTCTGGGGTTAACTATAACCCAGAACCAGAGGACACAACTCACCTGGGAGGATTCCTGCTTGATATGAAGTGGGGAGATCTACTTCTAATCTGGATCTTTGATATAGGAAGACACACCTTTAATCCAGATGTTTAACCCAGATCTCATCTTGGCCACCCCTTCTGCTGGAAGCCTATATAAGGACATGGAAAAAGGAAGCTTTTGCGCTGTTTCTGCTTCTTCTCGCCTCACTAGTAAGTCCATTCCTTCACCAGCATTGCGCCTACATCTTTGGAATTTAATGAAGACAAAATGAGACATCCAGCCTCATGGACTGAGTAACTTCTGGACTTGTGGACTTTCCATTCACAGCCAGACATTGTTGGATTAGCTGGGCACAGCCTATAAATCATTCCAATAAATACCTTTCTCATATCTGTGTATTATACATTATATATAGCTATATTATGAGAAAGTCATTCTAAGTTCTGTTATTCTAGACAGCCCTAACTATTACACCCCAAGACATACCTCCTCCCACAAAGCCACACCTCCTAATCCTTCCCAAACAGTTCTACCAACTGAGTACCAAGTATTCAAATATTTGAGCTTCTGAGAACCATTCTTATTCAAAGCATCACAGCATGCATATCTGCAAGCAAAACTCTCAACTTAAAGAAAAATAAGGAATGGTAATGAGATGTTTGCTGAGCCCAGAAAGGAGAAGCCACACCAGGGAGCTGAGTGAGAACTTAATAGAAGAAGTAAAGGCACCTGCTGCCCAGACTAACAGCCTGAGTTCAATTTCAGGGAGCTGCGTGGTGGAAATGGAGAATTAACTCCTGTGAACGCCACGTGCATGTGTGGTACATGTGTGTGCAGAGGGGGTGCACATGTGAGGTACATGTGTGTGCAGAGGGGGTGCACATGTGAGGTACACGTTTGTGCAGAGGCAGGTGCACATGCATGTGTGTGCAGAGGCAGGTGCACATGCATGTGTGTGCAGAGGAGGGTGCACATGTGAGGTACACATGTGTGCAGAGGTAGGTGCACATGCATGTGTGTGCAGAGGCGGGTGCACATGTGTGGTACATGTGTGTGCAGAGGCGGGTGCACATGTGTGGTACATGTGTGTGCAGAGGAGGGTGCACATGTGAGGTACACGTGTGTGCAGAGGCAGGTGCACATGCATGTGTGTGCAGAGGCGGGTGCACATGCATGTGTGTGCAGAGGCGGGTGCACATGCATGTGTGTGCAGAGGCGGGTGCACATGTGTGGTACATGTGTGTGCAGAGGCGGGTGCACATGTGTGGTACATGTGTGTGCAGAGGCGGGTGCACATGTGTGGTACATCTGTGTGCAGAGGTGGGTGGAGTAGGGTGTGAGAGAATGCAGAGAGGGGGGAGAGAGAGAAATGTTTTAAATGAATAACCATGAATTTGTTAATTAAGAAAATGACAAGGTAAAGGAGAAAATAAAGAAAATCCGTACCATCCCGTTGAGCTGGAGATTCGAGAGAAGAGTTGCAGAGACTAACTCTGAGAAGTTTGCATTAGAAATCTGTCGCTCCTGGATCTCTGAAGGAGAAGGGGGCTCTAGAAGGGTTGGACACAGAACTTTGAGGAGGATCTGCTAAGCCACTGATAAGTGAAGTGACGAGGGGATTCAGTGAACTTGGAGGAATTCTGTAACTTCTGGAAAAACTAGCTTCAGAAACAGCATGTGTTTCCATACTGGGGATGGCTTTCTGAAGAGGTGCTCACAGGAAAACGGGAGCAAATGGGTGGCAGAGAGGAGTGGGCGAGCATCTCCTGTTGGCACAGACTAACAGCTGGCAAAGCAGAGACGGGGTGTGCAGAGAATGAACCCTCCTGTCACAACTGCCATAAGAAGTGGCCTCCGAGTAAAGAGAATACAGGGTTAGAATGGAGTGCATTGACCCTGGGCACTATTGAGATGCTCACGGGAAACATGGAGCCTCACGTTCTGGATAAACACGGAATGAAGGTGACAAGGGATAGGGGAAAAGGGGAAGACAAGAAGAAAGAGGGTGCCAGTCACGCCTTACTCCAGAGGTGAAGTTTCTAGGCCCTTGGCCAGATAATGGTAATGCAATCATCTGTGTGTCTGGCACTGCTAAGGGAGACCATATAAAGAGAAGAGAGAATTGTGAGGGGCACACTTCAAACTGCCGAAGAGAAACCTGCAGAGGAGAGCAAAGGCTCGCAGAGAGAATTAGAGCTGGAGGGAAGGAAACTCAATACTGAAGAGTCAGCAGCATCACCACTGTTTCTCCTGGCTATACAAATAACTTTAGAACAGGGATCAGCAGACCGCACGCTGCAGATTGCATTCAGCACAGCACCTATTTCTGTAGTGAAGTGTTGTGATATGGAGCGGCGGGCTATGTTCCTGGCGCCCGGCCGCCCGCACGGCTAGCTTTATACAAAATAATTTCACGGAAACTATATTCTTTTAAACACTGCCTGGCCCATTAGTTCCAGCCTCTTATTGGCTAGCTCTTACATATTGATCTAACCCATTTCTAATATTCTGTATAGCACCACAAGCTGGCTTACCAGGAAAGATCTTAACCTGCGTCTGTCTGGAGCAGGAGAATCATGGCAACTTCTGACTCGGCTTCTTTCTCCCAGCATTCTGTTCTGTTTACTCCACCCACATAAGGGTTGGTCTATCAAATGGGCCTAGGCAGTTTTTTTTGTTGTTGTTGTTGTTTTTTTTTTTTGGTTTTTCGAGACAGGGTTTCTCTGTGGTTTTGGAGCCTATCCTGGAACTAGCTCTTGTAGACCAGGCTGGTCTCGAACTCACAGAGAT